CTCCCATGAACACGGAGCCCAACACAGGGATCCCAGGACTGGGATCATGACCTAAGCGGAAGGCAGAAGCTTAACAGACTGAGCCACCCAGGCTGCCCCAAATGCACTTTCATTTTAAAGCAAGCAGAAAATTCATCAATATCGATTATAATCAGTTACTTCTGAGTGCTTGCAAAGAACAACAACATGGCTACATGAGAAAGTGTCTTAATGTTATCTACATGGAAGTAGGGCCGGTAAAGAGAAAGACACTAATTTCATAGAACAAAAGAATTGGTAAGAGAAGAGCTTATCAAATATTCTAAGCAATCATAAACCAATATATCAGAATCATCAGATATCTTTAATATATAATCCAATAAAATAAAGTAACTGAAAAACACTTCTAGATAATTATCATAGTTTTAAAGGAAGATTACAGAAGCTATTTCTCACACTAGAAATCTAAGCTAAAGTCATACATTAGTGAATCCATATTATAAGATAGGACATTTTCTGTCATTGTGTTATGATGATATATTCAAGAGGTTTACCATGTAGATATTCCACAGAGATATTTTTCATAATTGAAACATTTCCTACCCAATGACATATGTGATATTTTCCCCTCTGGTCATAGGACCATAAAACATATTTATAAAACTTAAGAGTCAGAATGAAACTTAGAAGCCATTTACTTTAAACAGCTTTATCCTACTTTTTAAAAGAACTCAGTTTTTTTTCTAATTATAAAAATAATAAAACTTTTTGCAAATCTTTTTTTTTAAAGATTTTATTTATTTATTTGAGAGAGAGAGAGAGAATGAGAGAGAGAGAGCACATGAGGGGGGAGGGTCAGAGGGAGAAGCAGACTCCCCACTGAGCAGGGAGCCCGATGTGGGACTCTATCCCAGGACTCCAGGATCATGACCTGAGCCGAAGGCAGTCGCTTAACCAACTGAGCCACCTAGGCGCCCCTTGTTGCAAATCTTTTAAAACACACACAAAAAAGTACAAAGGTACAAAAAAGAATCAACCATAGTCATTACGTCTGGAAACAATTAACATAATACTGTTTATTCTGGTATTTATGCTTTTACTTAAAACAATATCATGAACATTATGTCATGTATGTCACAAATATAATTTTTAATGACTGATAATATTTCAACCTCGTAATGAACCACACTTTATTTAATTATGTTCTTATTTTAGGTTGCTGAAGATGTTTACTAAAATTGTGATGATATATCTTTTGGTTATATATATCATAGGAGTACGATTAAATAAATTTTATCACTTATTGAGATAAAATATATACTTTTTATTATTTATTTAAGTTGGATTCAGAGAAGAAAAAACATGAGGAAATGTAGACCCATACAAGTTAATTGATTGATGATGTCCATAACCAAAATTATCTGATTTCTGTTTCTTCCTATAATGTTATTCTCTATAATTTAAAAGTACAGCTGTTGGATCTTGTTCTTCTGTATGTATTCTATTGCTATATCAATATTGCCATCTTTAAATTCATAATCCATTATTCATCTTTTACTCATAACTATTTCATTCCCTCCTGAAAGTCTCCACAGAGTGGCAATAAAACAAATCAGAAAAGCAAACTGAAATGTTAAAGAATAAATAAGAAATAATAAAACAAACTAGAAAAACACCAGAATGAGACATTCTTTCTTATTCTTCTTTAGATTTCAAGCAATAGTCTACCTGAATATGGAAAAAGTTACCTCCATTATGACTGCTGGTAGGCCACAATTTAAAATAAACTAGGTAAATTCTATTATAGAGTATAATTACTATTCAAAAAGTTAAAGCAGGTAAAACTATTTGGATACATTTCTGAAATTATTTGAGAGGCAAATGAAGGATAAAGACTTCAATCAAAAAGTCAAGATAAGCATCTCAGAGACAATCCTGGCTGCCTTAAGACAGATTGTTTACATCAAGAAAACGTGCATTCCCCACTTCCAAGGGGAAAAATGAATCAACCATCCAGAAAGCCTAGAGCTTAGTGACCTTCCACATATAACCTCCAAGTACACTGATTGATAAGCCAAAATATGCAACTTAGAATTATTGAAAAATATAATAATTTCCAAGTATATATGAATTTTAAAATTCAAAACTATTTTAGTTTTTTAGAATTGCAAAATCTTAGCTTTTATTTTTTAGAATTATAAAAACTTTAAAATAATCACCAAAATATTCCAATAACCATTCATTAATCAAAAATGGAAGAGAGGAAGAGGGGCACCTGGTGCCTCAGTTGGTTAAGTGCCTGACTCTTGATTTCAGCTCCAGTCATGGGCTCCAGGTCCTGGGATCCAGCCCTGTATGGGACTCGATGATCAGTGTGGAATCTGCCTGAGATTGTCTCTCTCTCTCTCTCTCTCCCCTCTCCCCACTCATGCTCTCACTGTCTTTCTCAAATAAATAAATAATATCTTTTAAAAAATGCAATAAGAAAACTCTATACTCCAGTATCACAGTTTAGCTTTAAGTAAGGATTGCAAGTTTTATTTCACTTGTTTCCCCTTTTGTCCTTTTAAGATGTGCTTGGGAGCACCAATATTAATAATTGTTCCTAGTCATAAATGCAATTGGTACACAAAACAGGGGAGTTCATTGTAAAAGTAAAATAAAGATGTCCTGTAACTCATCAAATACAAATAGCTTTATACAGGACATGACAAATGTTTTCCTTCATCCTAGAAATGTTCTTCACATAATTTTGAAAAATAAAAATAAAACTAGTTAAGTGAATGGACATTGATAGCTTAGCCCACCCCATGAACCAAGGGACTTTATGCTTGTTTGTTTGTTTATAACAATTAAAAAGGGAAGAAAACAACCACTAAATTTCACAATGGTCTTGTGCCTCTGACTCTTATTATTGGTCATGTTTTATTGAACAAGTAGACTTCATTTAAAAACACAATTTAAACCAAATGGCAGTAAAGTGCTGCACACAAATATATATTGTTTTGCATACTGTAAATTCTTATTGTAATAAACACAAGGGGATCCTTCATACATGGTTCTTACTTTCTCTATTTTATTATTTATTTATTTGTTTGTTTGTTTATTTATTTATTTATTTTTAGAGAGAGAGAGAGCATGCACTCAAGCAGGGGGAGGGGCAGACAGAGGGGGAGAGGGAGAAACTTAAGCAGGCTCTACGCTGGGAGCCTGCCGTGGGGCTCAATCTCAGGACCCTGAGATCATGACCTGAGGAAAATCAAGAGTCCGACACTTAACCAACTGAGCCACCCAGGTGACCCACTTTCTCTTTCTTTGAGAGATATAAATGACAGAGGATATTTCCATAGCTGGTACACCTTCCTGGGTATATTCACAGTTCAATGGTACGAAATGCTATCATTAAGTGCACAACAGAAAACGGAGCCCAGGAAGAGCTTCACGATAGATCTGATACACTGAGGGTTACAGGCAATTCCCAGTATTCTGACTATCAACTCTATCATTTTCTCTCCCAAATAAGAAAGCATATGGAATAGGATAGATTGACAATAATAGTAATTATATAAGCTATATTGCATTGGCTTTATTTATTCATAAAGAAAAAGCAAAGCAACCTCAAACTCTAGTACTTTATTACGAATACCTAATTATTCACCACACACCCCACACCTGATAACAAAACACAATAATTTTAACACTTGATTTCAGAGTCACTACCCTAATGAATTAAAACCCAAACCAAAGTTAACCAAAATTTTAATGTGGATTTGGCCAACAACATGATACACTCAATAGATTAAATCTCATTGATGAGAGAGAAATAAAACAGCTTTTAGATGATTTATTTTCATTTTCAAGTTGCTACTAAATTTTTTCATAAGTCACTTCTACCACACTCTAAATGACCTACAACATTTCCAATCTGTTCATCCCATCTTTGATATACCCTAAAAATATTAAATTGCATTTTTGTAATAATTACTATTCAAAAGCAAAAAAGACCTTAGAAGGTTTTATTATCATCACTGCAAACACTCCCCCCAAAAAGAAGTAGGAGTAATCAAATATAAAGTTTTCTTCCACTTATCCATACAACACCCATCCAACCCCACTTCTCTTACTGTACTTTTAGCCAAAGGTAAGTCAAAGTGGCTGATCCTCTAGGGACAATAATAGTGGTCACTCATAATACGCAATAGAAATTGTTTTATAGGCCATCAACCTTTAGTTTTAGACAAAAGCATGCGGGTAATTGTTTTTGCAAACATATCTGAATGTGCTCAATATTAATTTACACATACGTAACAAATATAGATAGGTCTAGCTATAGGAAAAACTAATGAGCTAAAGATGCAAGTTTTTAAACAGACATAGGTAACTAGAAGTCAGGCTCAGTTTCTACTAACTAAAATATTCTTCACTTTACATAATGATTTATTTCAAGAGTTCATAGAGAATTTCCATATGCATTCAAAATGAAAAAAAATTACAAAATATCAGTTTAATCACATATTTCATAGAATATAAACAAGGCATAAGGAATGTCCGCATTTCTGTTATAAATTAAATGCGGACAAAATTTTTGGGACTTACCAATATGATTTCCATCATACTTGCATTTTTGACAAACGATTTAGAAAACTGATGCTTATAGGTCTTTTACACATTATATCTATTAAACATTAACTGAAAACATAAGGCATAAAGTGTCTCTGTGGAGAAAATAACTAGACCTTCCTACTGGGATTAGTCAGCCCTCTGAAACCATCTTTGGTACTTTATTAAAGGATCTAAGTTTAGGATCCTTTACTAAAGGATCTATGAAACACACACACACACACACACACATACACACACACACACACACCTTGATAGCTTATATTATCTATATAATATTTATATAAACTGCTTCACTCTACAATTCACGATCATTCTTGGCTGGATTACCTGAATAACCCACCTGACATAATTTTGTTCCTACATGCATCCAATTATTAGCATGCAACAACATGACTTACCGGCCCAAAAGAATTACTGTCAAAACTGTGTCCATGATGATCACCTTCAACCCAGATGTGACCCCGGGGAACTTTGACATACCGGTTTTTGTGGCCGATGGTTCTAGAAATAAAGAGCATACATAACCACTGAGATAAGAACAGAAAGATCAAGTAGTTGAGCATACAAAGAAACAAAGGGCAAAAATGCTGTTATAAAGATGCAACAGATAATTACAGGCGAACCATGAAGTTACTCTGTAACTTCATTTTTAAGTAACATTGGGTTAGGACTTGTAAAACCTATGCACAGTATTTTTTTTCACTTTTCTCTAGATAAGAATTTTGTGCTAAAATATAATGCAGTAGCACTAAATACAATGTTTTACTACCATATTTAATTCTCAATATCCTAAGTATGTATTTTATGAAATAAGCTCTAACAAAATACAGATCTATTTATTTTCTGACATTTGCTTTTATGTCAATATTCAATTTGATCAACTGTAATCTTCATATTTTTAGTTGAACTTCTCAAACCAACAGACAGTATTTTTCATAACCTCTTAATACTCTAAAAATCAGCATATATGAGAAATAACAACAACAAAACCCTGGATGATCCCTTGTCAGATTTAAACTCAATATCAGCTGAAAATGTTTTATCAGTATTATATTATTTCATAAATTATTCTTGAAAATGAGAAACTTTGTAACAATTTGGAAGACTATTAAAGATTAATGATCAATGATACACATTTAGTGGAACATTCTATATTCTTTTCTTTAAAAGATTTATTTATTTATTTGAGGGGGTGGGAGGGGCAGAGGGAAAATGAGAGAGAGAATCCTCAAGCAGACTCCCCACTGAGTGTGGAGCCCAATGCAGGGCTCCATCCCAGGACCCAGAGATCATGACCTGAGCCGAAATCAAAAGTCAGACGCTCAACTGACAAGCCACCCAGGTGCCCCAGGAACATTGTATATTCTTAAGGTTGACAAGGAAACGGAATAAGAAAAGGCTCTCTCATACAGTGTTGGTGGCAATATAAAATGATAAAACTTTTTCTCCTATTTGCAATTTGGGACTTATTTTCATCAAATTTGTTAAGAGACTAAAATGTACATGTCTTTGACCTAGTTATTATACTTTTGTGTAGAAATCCATTCCAAAAAAAATAATCAGAAATGTAAACAAATATTTATTATCAGGAGTATTCAATACAAACATTTTTTTTAAAGCAAGGCAGACTGCCACACGCAGCGCCCTATTTGGATGTGTCCAGAGTCTTGGAAGCTTGACTACCCTACATTCTACAGGTGGACCTGGGCAGCTCGTTTGGAGGTTTCAGCAGGGGAATGCAGCTACTCCTATACCCTTGACCGAAGAACAGTCCTCCTCTATTGGGAAAGGGCCTCCTCTTCCACAGAGAGAGTAGCACGCGTCAGGAGGGATGCACAGGGAGCAGTGAGGAAGGAAAGGGCCCCCCCTAGCCAGCCAGATCAGCTGAATCAACCCTGGCAATCAATGGGGTGACAGACATCACAGCCAGATCGCCCTCACATCCTCAACACAAGCTTTTTTTTTTTTTTTTTAATGCAGGCTTTTTATAACATATATATATTTCCTAAATATTCTACAACATGGGAATGGTTAAATAAATTATGATACAACCAATTTAATAAGAGGAACAAGATCAGAATAAAATATTATCCAATTCTATAATAATAAATTCTTTTGAGGGCAGAGACCGTTTTTTTGTTTTGTTTTGTTTACTCCCCAAAGCATTTGGGAAAATGCTTAGCCTAAAAAAGCTTCTCAATAAATGCTGGTTGAATGAATGAATGAGTGAACGTCACCTCTAAGTCTATAGAATTAAGCACAGAAACTGAGCTTTGTGAGCTATTCTTTGGTGTAGAGTCCCTTTCAGACCATTTTTGTTAGTTAGCAGGTTGCATGTGTGCAGAAGAATACATTAAAAAGAAAAGACTACACGTAAATTGGTGCTATAGAAATTGAAACTATTCATTATCTAGAATGGTTTTTAATTTTCAAGATAACTTCAGTGTTGAATTACTTTGCTTGAGATCAGTAAATCATTCATGCAAGGAAGCAATGTTGTGGCCATTAGAAGCCCACAGTAAGTTAATGACTGCCGTTTATTTTTAATTACTACTGGGAAGAAGAGTTTGAGCTTTTTAAAGAAAAGCAAAAACAAGTTTTTTTGCACATCTCACCGTCATATACTCTGTAACATAAGTGTTCTTCAATTAAAATCTGTCAATTAGTTCTGGACATCACTACTGCTTTTATCATGAGATTGCCTCAAAGAACTAATATCCCACATCAAGTGTTAATGATGGGAGAAGACCGTTTTCCTTAATTGTTGGCAAGGCACACTTTCCTATTAAGTCCAAACATTGGTTCACCTTATTATGCTGGTTATTTTTGATAGTTAGAAAGAAAACAATTACTCATTTTGTCTCTTCAGGCAGAATTATGAAATAAAACCAGCATAAAATCATCTCTGCAATGAAATGGTAGATGTTAAGTCACGCATATTCTTCTGGAAACCAGAAGAATGATATAAAACTCAGATTCAGTTTCAATGTCATATGAACCAGGGAGTCAAGATACTTGTGATAGAAAATGACAGTATCATAAAATTACCAGTGACAGTTGCACATTTCCTTGCATTGACCATCTTATCTAAAAAATTTGAATACACCCATCTTCCCATCATTTTCTAGCCTCTTATATCGCTTTCTTTTTCTTCATTGCAGTTACTAACACTTGACGTTCACTTATTGTTTTTTTTTTTGTTTATTGCCTATCTCCCTCCACAACTAGAGTGTAAACTTTGGAAATTTGACTTTATTTTTCACTTTCTTTGTATCCCCAGAGCCCAGAAGAAAGTATTGTACAAAGTGTTCAACAAATATTGTTAAATAAATGACCAAATGACTGAATAACTGAAGAATAAAAAATACTGCAACAAAGGCAGAATAATAGGGTGGAAAGTTCAGAGTCTGGAACCGGTTCTAATCTTGCTACTAGAACTCATAAGGAATCTTGTGCAAGTTACTTAGTGTCTACCTCCATCTGCCTATCTTTAAAATAGGATGAATAAGACATACCCCAACTGGGTTGAGATGAAGATCAGTAGTTAAATGAGAATATATTGGAGAGGTTACTAGAGAGCATAGTCTCTGCAATCAGCCTATTTTGGCTTTTCTATCTGACTGAACACTTTCAAGTTCATGTGACCTTGGGAAAGTTGATGCAACTCTGTCAGTGTTCTCATTTGGAGAACAGAGCAAATAATGGTACCTAACTCAAACAGTTGTTCCACGAATAAAGTGGTATGTATTAAACACTTGATAAATGGATTCTCGCATAGTTGAGACTGTTTTTAAGCACTCAGTATAGTTCTGATATATGGTAAGAACCCAATAAGTGGTAGTTATTATTGCTATTGTCTTCCTTTGTCCACTATTTTCTTTCTTTTCATAATTCAGAATGTATTCAGCCTCCACTATCTATTAGCATCAGTCTCTTAAAATTACCTGAGCTATGCTTCAATAATTTCTTTTCCCCATAGTTGCACTGTGACTATAGACAATTTTTTATATTACAATAAATCTTTTTTTTTCTTTTTATTCATATGCCCTTCTGGGATACTCTAAAACTTATATGTGAAAACACAATCTCTTTGGGCATATTTAAATATGCAGAGAGTAGTAGGTGAAAACACAAATAGATTGTGTTGCATTAATCACTTGCATTTACTAATCACTTGCATTTTTTAATGTCACAGTGGTAATAGGAGTGGTTTACCTTGCTGCCAGACAGGTGTAAAAGAACACTTTGAGCTGTAGAACTCTGATAAAATTCATGCCATTTGCATAGTGCATATTTCTCAGGTTTCAATCTAACTTTTTAAAAAATAACCCAAAGTAGCTTTAAAAAATATGATGTTAAAATATCAAGCTGGTTCCTTTTAGGACTGCCAAAGAAATATAATACTCCTAATAGAATTCCTCTGGAGAAGGAATTTTAAATTGCTTTGTGCTTCTGAATTCACATAAAAGAAAGACAAGATAATCTTTCAGGTGATTTAACAGTTAAGTAAGGTGTCAGCATACAAGGTTGTATGTATCTATGGCTTGCAAATAATTTTGGTTTGACAGTCAAAAATGAGTTTTGTATGGTATTTTAACTACCTGTCTACAAAGAGGCATTTTTAGTACTAGCATTACCAAGACAAGTTACTAGGTTTTATAAATGGAATAAAGAATGATTGCCTTCAATTTTATTTGACCTTGAAAAACATTTTTTAAAAAATTTCGGAGTCTTTTGAGTGTCATCAGTTGAATACAAAATTATCAATATAAGCCCTGATACCACAAGAGGGAAACAAATTCATATTTAAAGTATTTCCCAAATACACACACAAATACTTATACATTCTTAACTTGGGTGATTAGTATTAATAATTCATGATTTATTGAAGTATTTTTATTTCTTTATTTTTCAAACAATTGTATTGATTATTCTCATTGTCCAAAGTAGTGGCTTCCCTGAATATGTTTACTACTCCCTGGATCCTAGAACCCTGGTTTTCATTATCCTGAAGGGACTAGATGTCAAGGGCTCAGGACTCAGCAAGATCAGGAATTGGAACTAGATCTCTTTCAACATCATCATCACTGATAGACTGGACTAGGAAAAAAAATAATCTGCCATCAGGAAAGGAAAACAAGAAGGACACTTGTCTGTCAAGGTTTGGCATCTAGAAGAGACAATAATTCTCCCTTGAGAATCCACATCCTGCTCGCAGATGAGATTGGGGTTCAAATTCACACTGCTTGTGTAGTCCAGGAAAATTAAGAGTTAACTTTAATTGGCCCCAGGAATCTGGCAGAAGGAAATATGTATCTCTTCAAGAAAAATCATTCATTTCAGAGTTTTCAGGTTTTCTATAGGTAAGTCCCAGCCAGTAAGAGCTCATAATCCAAAATAACACAATTCACAAGGAAACAGCCAGTATTAATGAGTCAAGGCAAACAATAAACAGCAGAATTAGATCCCCAGGGACTTAAAATACTAGATTTATCAGACAT